AAAAAAAAAAAAAAAATATATGAAGAAGAGGGGGGAGAAATTTTATGGGCCCCTGCATGTCCTGCGCTTATATCATGTACCTTTTTGTGGCGAAAATTCATATAAAGCGCACAGCATGTTCTGGTTAAACATACCAGCTTTCAAAAAAAAAAAAAAAGCGTGTACATCTCCTCACAGTGCGTGGTGCATAGGGGGAAAAGTGTTAACGCCCCCATATTTCCCTAAGCATGTTCCATAAATATATGCACATAATGAAATGATGCTGCCCTTTTTTGTCGTCTCCCCTGAGACAAAGGGGCATCTTGCGAACCGTATGATGACACCATTAACAACCACTCCTGCTGTGTACACAAGTTACATATTCACGTCATTGTAATTGTGCCGAAATGGAAATTAATTTTGTACTTTTTCCCCTTTGGGGCATTTTAAAAAAAAGGAGCAGTGTGGTAAATGTGCTCTTCTCCAACTTCTTCCTGTTCTTATTATATGCGCCCCATTGGGGTCTATGCGTTTTGGCGCTTCTTCATGAGTTTCTCCCTAATCTCCTTAATCTTATCGATGATTTCATTTTTGGAATCGTAAATGCAGCAGAGGTACTTTTCCGACTTCATCCAAGCGTCGAATTCTGGGGAGTTGGCATTTTTTGGCCAGGGTGTATAATGCAATAGGTAATTTTTACTATTAGCCCAGACCACGATTTGCTGATACAGGTGAGGGAGGAATTCTTTTTCAAAAGACTTAAAGACGATGGCATCGTCAAGTGTTAATCTATGTCGTTCCGATTCCCACAGTTTCAATTGGGTAATAACATTAACAGGTATGGAGCTTTTAAAATTGCTTTTGCCTGGGTGAGCATAGGACTCCAAAAATTTAATAATTTGATTTGCAGTGATGTCTGAGTTATATGCATTTAGCACACTCCTTCTGGTTAAAATACCTACTACCATGTTTGGGGTCCTTGCCTGTAATTCACATAAATGACTGAGAATATTTATTTTCAATGTTGAATTTGTGTAGAGGTAGACTTTAAAATTGCTCTGCACAATTAATCCCATTTCGAGATTATTGTTTCCATTTATTTTTTTTTCTGGGGATAAATAATTATGGTTAGCTAATTCGTGTGTATATTTTGCTTTATCATTATTGTGATGGGTATCACCACTTGTTGTGGGGGGTCTTTTCTTTTCCTCTTGTAATAGGGAGTAGTGATGAAAATATTTTTCGCTTATCTTCTTCACCCCCCCATCAGTGTGGCCATGTCTACCCATACTTATGGTGCGTGTGGCCAAAACATTGCTTCCATTGCTGGGCAGATGATTATCCACTCCATCCTCACCATGGACCGTATACTCGTTGTATGCGCTTTCAGACAACCCTTCAACTGTTAGGCTGTTCATGACAGCTACGTAATTATGTACATTCAAATTATTAATGGTTAGAAGCAAAGCGTAGGGAGTTACAAAGACGTAGTCCTCAGTGCGCTTTAAAAAAAGACCAATGTGGATGCCAAAATTTATAAATTCCTTCTGCGCCTTGGTTAAATTATCGAGGTATATGGGGTGACTAATGGTGCACTGACTAATGGATAGGATGAGCAATAGGGTTTCCTTCACATATAGTTCTGACTGTTTCTGGTCCTTGTTTTCTTTCGTCACATAACAAGGGTTTCCGCCTCCATCAGTTTTTACCTGCTCTTGATGGTGTGTATAAACCTTGTCACTGTACAGGTCGTTGCTTCCGCGGTGCTCGGGGTAAGCGGTACTGTGCGTATAATTGGAATATGCATGGTAATCACTTTCCGTGTTCTGGCCATTTGCAGAACTGCCTGCACCACTAACAGCGTCTGCGCTATTATTGTCCTTCTTATATTTGGTCGTAATTTCCCGTGCAACATTTGTGACGTAGCCATCGTCTATGATGAGCAAATATTCGAGCACGAGGGAAATTATCCTGCTTCGTATATCCTTGAGGAACCATGAGAAGGCTTCCCGACTCATGTTCACTGCCTTGTTGCTATTCGCATGATCTTCTAGGATGAAGTTTTTTCTCTTGAGCACTTCAATTAGGCTATCGCATGGAGTGTACGAGGGGAAGGTTTCGTTTTTTGCACTTGAATAGAAAAAAGAATATTCATTATTGTCTTCCTCGAGGTATCCATTTTCCACATTTTGCAAGCTCTTATAATACAGATCATTTTGCTTGGATGCATAAACTCCCTTTTTTTTTTTCTTCTTCTTTTTTTTATTACTATGATGGGTATAATATTCATATGCTTCATAGTTGTTCAGGTGGTGTGCGCTTCCCATTGGGGGAGCTTCGACCGGTGGAGCCTGTTCGTAGTAGTACCCGTACTGATCATATTTGACATTTTCATTTTGCCCTTTCTCATATTTTTCGGTATAGTTTTTGTTTGCCTCCTGCGCGGTGTGCTCTTCGTTGTGTGAATTATCCCCCTCATCGTCATCTTCGTGTTCATACTCGTCGTTGTCATCCCCGTGGCCATCGCCATTTTCTTCCCCGTCGTCGTCCTCCCCCTCGTCACCGTCTTCGTTATGTTCCTCCTTTCCCACGGCGTAATTCATAACATTGTGAGTGTTTCCTCCGTAGAGGAAGTGGCCAGGGGGCCGATACTCCTCATCGTCTGTCTGATTTTTTTTCTTTCCTTTCGTCGAAGGGGTGTAAGAAGAAGAGGGGCCTTTGTCTACATTTTTATTCCTGTTTGGGTCACCTCGGTCATCATTTCGATGGTCTGGGGAGGTAGCATATGGAGGGTATACCTCTTGTCTGTGCTCCACAGGTATGCCATTATTGTAAATCATGTAATTGTTCATATGACCTAACTTTGGGGATGCAATAAAATGGAGCAAGTTGTTCCACCTCATGTGTGTATAGTTGACAATTTCTTCTTTCGTTGGATATAAATTATTTTCAAGCAGATTTTTTTCTTTTTCCATTTGTTCCTTAGCGTTATTATTAAATATAAAAATTTTGTCTTCTCTATTTTTATAAATTTTGTTGAGCATTGTATATCTGAATTTTTCATTTATTCTGTACTGATTATAATTATCCTTTTTCGTTTCGCTTTCTACAAGTATTTTCGCTTCCACCAAATTTTTTATGCATTCACTTAATTTTTTTAAAGAGTTGGGGTTAATCCACAAGCGCATAGCTCTTTCGGACACCACCTGCTGTATGAACAAGAGTCTTGAGATGATAATTTGTTCTAACTCGTTTAGGGAGTGTAATATTGCCTCATGTGCTAGAGAGTCTTCGAATAGGTAGGTCCATATTTTTTCATTCAGTTCCTTCATGTAGTCATAAATTTCCATATTTTCGATATTTTTTCGTGTCCTCACCATTTTGCCTTCCGTCTATATATATCTGCTTGTGTGGTCTGTATTGTTATATGCTCGGTTGGGCATCATGGAGGAGAACGTATCCTCGGCGTGCCTCTCCTGTGAAGCGATCACTTCAGGGGGAGCACCAGATGAAGCCGGCCAAGGGTATGTTTCCCGCGGAGTTATTTAATACACCTCGTACATGTTTGCACGGCTCGTGCAGCTCCTACGACCGTTCGCTCGAGCGACCTGGGTTTGCTGTACTCGGCTCCACCTTAGAGATCATGGCATTCTTTTAAAACTACCCTATGTTGCCACACTAGAAAGTTGCGTCCCTTTGACGGTATTCATTTTGTACGTGCTGGTAGTTATCTGTTAAGAGGGGTGTAGGAGTCCCAGTTCGTTAAACAAACGTGGGAATATTTATACGCGTAATACAGTGGAGTGGCGCGTCCACGAACGAACACTTAATATGTATGCATGGGTGGTACATATAAATGCCGCCTTTTATTCATCTAAATGGCTATGTCGGCGTGCATCTTCACCGGCCAGTAGAGGTGTTAAATTGGGATGAATATGATCGCGGCAAGAATGGAAGAAAAGAAAAAATTACAAACCATTGAATAGATACACGAGTGGCATGATAATCGAATGGGCGGATCAGTACTAGGGCAGGAAGAAAAATGTGGGCAGCGTACCGATATGCTGAGCTTAAACGCATTTTATGTTATAGCGCCCTTGGTATACCTAAGCGCATCTGCGGGGGCAGGAATCGAACATTTTATCAGAATCAATTGTGCACAATTTTTGCGCAATTTTTACACCATTTTTGGAGGGGAAAGAAAACATAAGCCGCAGGAAGAAAGCGAATAAATCGTTTTTTCTTTTTTTTTTTTTTTATTAGAAAAAAGTGGTAGTGTGAGGAGAAATACCATATGCTCCTACGCTTGTTGTTCTTCATGTTGTTCACTCTTTACAAAATTGTTCCTGCTGCAACAACGTGTACCCACAATATGTGGGAAGAGATGTTTCAGTTGCTGCTGTTGGTGAAGCAAGCATGAAACTTGTGCCCCATTGTTATCCTTTTCAATAATTCGCATCACGGTAGTGTTCATTAAGCTGTGTCCTCAGGAGGGCATAAAGAAGTAGATCAGTGTAGGAGCCATGAAGAATGCTACAACTGGTTGACGCAACAGGAGAATAGGATGGAGTATATGGTCTTCTCCAAAGGATTACCCCCCTTGTCAATACCACTCTAGATAATACAGGATATATGTGGCATTACCCAAGTTCACATTCACCACACAATTTACAGCCCAGTGACACGATGAAGTGTTTTTTTTTTTTTTACCACGGTGTAGATTAACCACACTGGTGAGTTTTATCCTTACAGAGAAATTTCATATGTTGTTCATCATATACACGAACAGGAGGTGTTCTTGTCCACGCGTCAACACAGGTCCTCTTTTTCTCATAGACCGTTTGTGTCAAAAGGCGACTTAGTCTGGGTGACAAGAATAGTTAATATGAAAAAATGACAAAATGGTCAACCATTTCTCGATGGATCACAAGCCATGCGGATAAAAAGAAAAAAAAAAAAAAAATCATACGTATTGTGTTTTGTTTGATGTGAATAAACCGCGGGATTGGGAGGGAACACTATGAGATTCTAGATCCGTATGTTACAAAATGCGCTTCTCGCATGATTTGCAAAATGTATAGAAACATTTAAGGGATGACTAAAAAGGTATATGATAATAAAAGGGTGAAAGTGTACTCGAATTAAAATTCGCTGTCGCGTGAAGAAAATTTTTTTTTTTTTTGTGTTGTCACTATAGCTAGCTGTATATGTAGCGACTTGGGGAGATGGTGTGGATGCCACGAGAGGTACACTTTGCGTGTGGAAAAAAATACCTAATGAAATCTGGCGAGAAGGAAAAAATTTTGTCGACGAATACTTAGTCAAGATCATTGCTATAGTATTTGTGATGTTTTATTGTTATAAATAAACAGATTATCAAAAGTGATGATGAAAAGGCGCGGCTCTATAAATGAAAAATTTTCGATTTCCTTCAGCTTCTTTCGAAATTGTTGGGAATCCGAAACATAGATGATCAATTTTGACCTCCAGGGATTTTTCCCTTGTTGGTTGAAAAATCAGGAGTTTGTCGCCAGCTGAACTTTAACCACGCTCAAAAAGCACAATTGATAATAACAATAAAGAAAAAATATATATATATAGTAACGCAACCCTCTTTGTTGCCGTCGTAATACGGCTTTAAAAAAATTTTCTCGCGAAAATTAGGGCCAACACAGCATTATTTTTATTATTATTATTGTTATAACGTTTACAAATTTTATATGCTTTATCGGGTGAAGCTATATTAAATTTAAGTCCCTTTCGAATTGAGCAAAATTGTTGTTTGCTCTTTTTTCGCTATATATTTTCTGTGAGTTCTGTAAACGGTTTATATTGCAGCTGTTTATGTTTTCACCACATGGTTGAAATGCCAAAAAAGCAGAAAGAACAAAATGTGATAAAATTAAAAATATATATAAAAATGGTGAACATATTTTTCTACCTATATAAATGGGATAATTTTTTATAGGAAGTTTTTTTTTTTTATTTTTTAATACTTTTTCGTCGCTCTTTTTGTATATATATATATGGATTATCCAATTTTTGTTCCTCGAAAAAAAACGTTTTTTAAAAAAATATGTTCCTTTTTCTTAAAAAATTGTAAAGTAAAATATAGCTGAATAAAATATTCATCCATCTTATTACTTTATTTTAACCAAAATACGAATTTTCCTAATTTTTCTCTGAATATAGTAATAATTATGTCGTCTGTACAAATTTGTATAGAAATATAAAAAGATGAAAATTTGAAGGATGAAATCAGCATTTGTACATTTTTAATAAAAGTACATATTTATATTTTATTGCAAAAATATTAACTGTTACCTTTTACGCTGGTTAATTTGCCCACATTTTTACAATTTTTCCATCCAAAATATATTTTGTCGTCTTTTTTAAATTAACCCTAATTGAGTTTTCCACAAAAGTTTAAGCAAGTGGGGTATAACATTTGAAGTTTCCTCTGAACGCCGTAATTATAGACGATAATGCGAGACGTTTTCTTTTTGTAACATTACCATTTGTCGTTGTAGTTAAATACACGTTATCTTATCGTATGATAATATTCTACACCCTTAACTTTAGGAAGGCAAACTCGTTTTGCATTTCCCTTTTGTAGCAATTTAAAAAGCCCACTGAAGGTGAAGTGGTGCAGTTTTTACATGTTACTGAGGGGTTATGTGCTCAAAGCTGAGGAAGCCTTTCTCGAGGAACAATTTTATTAAAGCATCAATTTTTGCATACATATGAATATTTTCAATTACCATTCCGTTGAAGGTGATACATATACATGTGCGAATGGACAGATTGTATGGGAGGAATAGCCTGCTGTAGGTTTCGGTTAGACCGTGAGGGGGGAAAAAAATAGACACTGCGGTGACGCTATTTTTTACCCTTAATCCCTTTGTGATGGTTCTTGAGACGTTGTTGCAACGGTGTTGCGCAAATATCCTAGGGGAATAATGTTAGTACAATGGCGGAGGGTACATATATATACATATCATATATTCTCATGTGTTTTTCCGGTCCGCCTGTCGTAGGGGATGGGGGGTATTTGTTAGAGGTTACTTCACACGTCCACTCCAAATGTTCAAAAAAGGAAAAAACAAAAAAGAAAGGTGCAGGCAATATAAACGTTATGTATGCGGCAAGAGGTAGAAATGCTCCATATGATGATATTTCAATAACATCGTTAGGGGGGGAAGTGGAAGTACGTCTAAAGCCCCCGTTGCGCAATTAGCCTTTACGCAGCTAGGCGCTAAGACTGAACATTTCTGTAGCACATTTGGGGTAAAGAAAATAAGGGTTTCAATAGGTAGCCTCAACTGAGCGTACACGTTTATCATTTAGCATCCTTCCCTCTACCTATAATGTGAACTAATTTGATATTCTGCTCTTGCACCTCACATGACACAGTTGTGTGAGTCTACTCAGCGTTAGGCATATTATTATCCCGTGATGAGTTAGATTCACTTGATGAACACACCCTCAAACAGATTAGTAAACTGTGCATTCACGCACGAGGTGTATACACTATGTGTGCGTATGTGCGAGTTGTAAAGCGCGTTCATGTGGATAGCGCTTACATGGCCACGTGGGAGATACCCTATTTACCATTTTCACCTACAACGCGCTGCTACTTCGTCGAACTTTACCCCACGGTTAAAAGTGTTCCTTGTTTTAAACCTCATGGGGTGCACAAAAATAAGTAAATACATAAATAAATTGCAACGTTGAATGTGGCTACGTATACTTTTAAGAGATAACCAGGGAGGGCATTATTTTTCCCCCCCTTTTGTTTAAATAAATATGGGAGAAGAAATTTCATTTTGTCCCCTTGTTGTTCCCGCCTTTTTTTTTTTTTTTTTTCATTTTCACCCCTTCCAGTTGCTCCTTTTTTTTTTTGTTAAAAATGTGAATCGCTGCAGTGAGGTATAACTCTTGGCGCAATTTCACCCCCCTCGTGTATTTTCCCAACTGAACGAGAGAGGGGAAAGGAGGAACAAAACGAAGTGGTTGAATATTGAAAGAAGTTCTCGCTTTACAAGAGGTGTGTACACGTGTGTTATATATATATGAGGGAAAGTTCCCCGAAGAGTTTGTACATGCGCGAGATCTTCTACATGAGAGCTCTGCTCAGTGCTGTTATTCTATCGGTACTATTTTCCCTACGAAAGGACAGTAAGGTGAAATGTTATAAGATCCATGGGAGGTTAGGAAGCTGTAGAAGGAGGAGAGCAGCTGTTACCAGTTCTAAAAACACAGATGCGTGTAATAGCGAGATTACACCGAAGAGCAATTTGGTGAAAAGCAAAAAGAGATATTCCTTTACCCCTCTGAAGAGGAATACAATAAAAGATATAAAAAGAAGAATCAAATTTAATGAAAAAAATGTGAGACCTCCCAATGGATCCTTTATTAGAAAAAAAGACATACATAAATCGCTAATCGATGATATTAATAAGGAGATGCTAAAGGAAAGTATTAAAAGCGTAGGGACAAATTATGAAAGAGAAGAGATCGCCAAACATAATATTCTTCCCCTACCTGTGGAGGACAAAACGTCCGAATGTTACAACTGCTTGGTCTTATGTAAGGGAATGCCATTTCATGCGGACACAGCTAGAATTAGGGAATTTTTCAAACCATATAAACTTGTGGATAAGTACACAATTTTTATAAAAGACAAGAAAGGAAATTTCTTCGGCGATGTTATTGTTAGATTTACAAACAAAGAAGAGAAACTTCTGGCATTGAAAAATAAAAATTTCAAATTTTTAATGCACAGATATATACAGCTGTATAATATTAATGAAGAGCATTATGAGGAATATTTTAACGTGGGCTATAAAAACCCCCCTTCATATAAAAATTACGTCCCTATTAAGAATGTCATCGTTTCTAGTGCTCTAGAGCAGGTTGACCCGCTTGCCGAGGAAGGGAGTACTGATAGGGATAGCACATCATCTAGTGTACATGCCACTTCCGAAGAGCAGTTTCAATATCACTCCTTTTTTTGTGACCACCTAGATAATGATGAAGAGACGAAAGAACTTAGAGAGAAGGTGAACAAGAAAGGCATTCTTCTGAAGAGTATATACACGGGGAAAAAACTCAGAGGGAGAATAACGTCTGTACATCCTTATGGCGTTTTCGTGGACTGTGATGTGTATGTAAAGGACAAGAATGGTAGATTTATAAAAATTTTAGCTCTACTACATAAAAACAAACTAACCATAAATATAGGACTTCCCACAGACCCTTTACCAGAACAAGAGGAGAAAGAATTAATATTACAAAAAAATATGAACATCATTGTTTATGTGGATAAAATTATAAAACGGGAGATTCATCATAGCGATAGTAATTCTACGGATGGAAAAAATAATTTAATTTTTTTTAACCTCACCTTTGATTCCTCCATAACGGAGGAGAAAATCCAGTGGCTCCAGAGTCTCAAGTTGAAGAGGAAGTCCATTGAGGAAAAAATGAAAATATGCAATGATAGATTTTTGAGCATGTCTTCTGAGGCGGCTGTACAGAGCAGCGTGCCGGGTGCGGCGCCCGAAGTGGGTGTGAAGGAGGACCCATCGGGGGGGGACCACGAATCAAAATTGAACAGCAGTGTCAAGAAGAAAACAATCCCCAGCTGTAGGTCCAGCAAGATCTACCTCATGAAAGACACACACTGTGATTATAATGTTTTTGAAAAAAAATGGACCAAACCTGGGGGAGTGAGAGGAATGTGTGCCCTGAACAGCAACAGTGAAGAGGAACAAACTGAGGGAACACATAAAAATGAAAAAATAAAACCAGAAGGAAATGCAAAAGGAAGAAACAAAATGAAGAAGAAGAAAAAAAAAAAAAATTTAGACCACGGTGACGTTTATGATGAGGACGACAATTTTGATGAAATGTTTAAGCTCGATATGGGTGATGGAGAGGATGAGGAGGACGACGGAGGGGAGGTGTACAATGACCCTGAAAACGTGGAATGCGTGGCGGATTCTGAACTGGAGGCAAACGAGCAGGACAGTCACAGCGACGACAAAAATATGAGGAGCGAAAAAAAGGTTAGTAACCATTATAACGACGAAATGAAGGGAATTCTGGACGATATTTTTAGGAAGCGGCAAGAGAAGGGAAGTGTTGCAAAAAAGGCTTCTACAAAGGTGCGCGCTCATAAGTGTAAGGAAGGTGCCACTGGGGAAAAGACTCTCGGGCCGAACCTCGAAGATGTAAGTGATAGATCCAAATGGACAAACGACATCCGCAAGGAGGAGTCCATATTCTATTCGAAAATGTTTGGACTGAAAACGGACATAAACGACTTTTGTTCGGATGCCCCACGAGGGAAGGAGGACGCTGGTGCGGCTGGGAAGAACTCGAATGATATGGAGGAGTTGATGAAGCTCAGCGAAGGTGGAGATGAGTGGGGGGCCTCATCAAGTGACATCCAGGCGGAGACTTTAAATTTTGAAGGTTTAGAGAGTTGGATGGAGCGCGACAAAAAGGAAGAAGCGGTGAAGGATGACGAAGAGGGGAAAGCATCTAAGAGGAGAGAAGCGGAGAAGGATGATGAAGAGGGTGGGCTAACTATGGACGAAGCGAACGCGGGTCAACTAAATTCCATAATTAGCGGGAAAGACGGAGAGAGCCTCGATTTCTCACACCTCGCAGAAATGCCACCAGAAGAACTGAAAAGAGAAATATACAAAAAAAAATATCTTCTTCCAATAGACGTATCAACGGAGAGCCTAAAAAATCGACTCATACAAATATGTATTTGTGAAAAAAAAAAAATGAAATTTGATAATTACCCATTTATTAGGTACTACTTGTTCGACTTCAATGTTCCAGTAGAAGACATCAAACTGTTCGTTTTAGCAAATAGAAAATTTCTAAATAAAAAAAATATAACTCATAACCTTTTGAACTCTTTAAATTTAAACGAATTAAAGTACCTGCTTCATAAGTCCATGGAAAATATTCGGCTGTGGGAACCTGAAGATAATATAAAGAGAAAAATTCTAAATTTGAATAAAGACCTTTTGCAAAAGCAAAACATGAATCACGTAGATGATGTAGATGCAAACAATTTACTCATATTGTGGAATGACTTTAAGGACTTTCTCCTAAATTGTGTTTATGGAAATGACACCACGAGTGACTCCTGGGGGGCAGACTTTACGAATGTACAAAGCACCAAATGGGAACCAACCACGTCGTACAGAACAAACAATGTACACACACAAAAATATTTGAACAGAATGAAAAATATGGAAAAAGAAAACTTCTTTATTAGCAAGAAGGCACACGCTGATGATGATGTACTTGAAAGACAAATAAATAAAAACAAAATGGAACATATGGACCCTTTTGAAAATGCATTAAGTACTTTAAATAAAGAGCTTGATGAAAATGAAGCCGAGCTGCCAGACAAGATAAGCCTCAAGGAAGCCATGAAAATCCTGAACAATAGAAGTTACATGAAAAAGATTAAGCGAGCTCTCAATAACGACTCCGATGAAAGGGGAAATGAAGAATACATTGGAAAAATTATTAACTTAATTTTGAAGCATAAAAGCTATTTCAAGGAACACCTGACCGAGGCCGTCCTCAGGATGAAGCCCCACGAGGAGCTAATTGTAAGTAGAGAAAAAGGGCCAGTGAGCGCAGCTAAAAGAATGAGAGGCCTGCCGGTGAGGACATAACATAGAGATCAACCCTGAACACTAAACCACTCCAACTTCCCTGCGTCTACTTCATACCCCCTCCCCGCAGGTCCTCCTTGATCAGCTTCCCGCCGACCTCATAGAAGACTTACTCTGAAAAATACAGACGTGCCCCCTTTTCACATTTTTTTTCGTTTTAAAAGTCAATCCGCGCAGTCGCAAAAAAAAAAAAATTCCACGCAGTGGGAAACGCAGTTTGTTTAAGTTATTGTTAAAAAAATTTTTAAAAAGAAAAAAAAAAAAAATTGGCACAAGGGAAGGTATATACACATACACACGTTCGCCGTGCAGGTATGTTGACAAAGCGTCGCTTAGGCCCACCTACCCCTCTGAACAGCCCGGTGTCGCTTCCATTATTTCCTTTTCCCATTTTTTTTCAAGGGAACCTCAAAACGATGGAATTCTGCTGACCATGCTCGCTTTCGCTACTCCAAAACGGCGAAGTGCACATTCTGCACGTATTTCAAAACATGCTGGATTAAGAGGCGATACCCTTGGTCCTGGTTATTCGTCACGTCGCTGGCCAGCTTCTGCCTAAGCAGGAGTGCCTCCAAGGTTCTGAATTTCCCGGACAACCTCCCATTTCTGCTTTTAGAATAAGACGCTAATTCTTTGTGTACCTTCAAAAGGATCTTATTGCTTTCGTCTGAGAACTTGTGTTGAAATGCCTGAGTCCAGCGGAGAGCCACATCCAACATTTCACTAATCATTTTGTTCATTTCTACATCTAGACTATACGTACTTAATTTTGCGTAACGCTCACCAAAGTAAATTTTCAGTGCGGGCTTGATGAAGGGGGTAAGGGAAATCACAACCGATAGAAAGTACTTCTCCAGATGCACTGCCTTCTTCGTCATAAGGAATGATGCCAAGTGTTTAACTAAGATTTGGTTCACCCAACTTTTGAAGTGCGCGCTAGAGAGTAACAAGACAATGTCCGTTGGGGTCAGCTTATTCTCCTTTACCCTGTTCTTTACCATCGTTCTGAACGACCCACACATTCTCAAATTGGTTAGTAGAAATTCGTATGTACTCAAAATGTATATGTTAGGTAATGAAGTGACTATGCTGGCTACGTCCGGATTGAGCTCGCTATATGTCATGGGCCTGATATTTAAACAGGCAGAGTTGCCATTTTTGCAATTCTCCAAAATGTACGAAACGGCGTATTCATAATTCCTTAACAAGTCTGAATTGTTAAAAGCTAAGTTCTTCATGAGCACGGGCCTGGTTAGCTTACTCCTATTTTTGGCTATGCACTGTTCCGCGGCCATTTGTAACTCCCCCGTTATGGACAGCCTAGCGTCCGTGCCACTTCGTGAAAAGAGCCTCTTCAGGCCAGTGCTACTACTGGTATTGACATTGCCACTAACATTACCGCCGATATTGCCAGACGGTTTGCTATATTTATGCAGAAAAAGATCTCTCTGGTAGGTGCTAAACAGGGTGATTAAACTCGGTGACTTTGAATCTTGTCTGCCATCTTTCAAACCCTGCTGCGTGGACACTCCTTTAGAAACGTCCACCTTCTTGCTTTTCCTAAATTTGTTGAAAAAACCACCCGTCCTACTTTTTCTACTCTCTGGATCATAAGAAGAAGCCGATTTTTTAACCCCTCTGACTGGGAGTACTCCATTACGATCGAGGCGTGTGGTATTATCCAAAGAACTGTACCCTGGTGTTGTTCTTGTTTGACTTATTTCATCTTCGTATTGCTCCTCTCCGGGGATTACACTATAAATATTATTGCTGGAATTATAACTATTTGAGTAATTGTCTAAAGGCATGCTATAATCGTACTGTAAGGGTAAACTTGAGGTTCTCATTGATTTCTTGTTCTCTGTTGGAGGAAGTGTTCGTCGGTTGAAGTCCTCCTGTGGGTAGGAATAAGGATTGAGAGGTGCTGACCTATTTGAGCCATTCCTTCCATACGCATAGTCATACACATCACTGCTGGGATCCCTCACTCTTCCACTTTCGCGTGGGGGTGATACTTGTGCACCACTGTCACTGCTGTGATGTATAGCATTTCGTCTTCCATCCATCCTTGCAAGATGCATATCATCATTTGGCTGTCTATTGTCTCTTCGTTTCACAAATTGAATGTCCTCATAAATGGAAGACCTGTCGGCATCATATGCATTGGATTCGTTACTTCGAACGTCACTACTGTTATTTGAGCTGTCGAATGAATAGTCCTCCGTATCGCTCATGTAGTCGTCCATACTAAGTCCTAACCTTTTGTTAAAATTTTCGAAATCTTTGCCTAAATAAACATTACCCTTTGGGCTCATTCTTCCATCTTCCTCTGCTTGGTTGTATGTTTGCCTTATTTGATGAGAGTTACCACGCTGATTCTGCTGATCGCTGCGATAGTCACGCTCGTAAACATTTCCGAGGTTACCCCCGTAGTCATTATCCTCGTCAGAGTCATCCTCCGAATAGTTGTCTACGCTGAATGACCTTGTCTCTGTGGGAAGGGCATTGCTGCTACGCATGGGGCCGTATGATGTCCCTGGCTGTGGTTCTTCATACATAGCAGTGTTTTGTCCTCTATTTAAGGGATTTTGCATCCCTTGTGAACCTCCTTCGAACGATTTATTTTCATTCGAGCCTCGTTGTTGTCTGTCTTCGTTGCCCTGAACCTCGAACCGTCTTATGAGTTCATTTACGTGTCCTCTCTTTGGTGGCTGACCGTTCACATCTCCGATGTTCCAACAGAGTAACAGGAGCGCGCAGGAGATGGCGTAAACGGAGAAGATACGCTTTGGCACCATTTTAGGAGTGACAATGGTTTACAAAAGGTGCACAGATGGGGATGACTATAAAAAGTAGAAAAATTTTTGGAAATGTTAACAAGATGCAATTTTAGTTGGGATAAAAAATTGACATAAATGTTTGCCTTATTGTATGAGCAAAAAAATGTAATTTAGGTTTTTCGTCCAAACGATATGAAGATAATTCTGTTTGGTCTTAACCGTTGTTTTATTTTTCAGAACTATTTTGTTCTTTCTGTTTTACAACACTTGTTATTGTTTTGTGAATTTTTTTTTTTTACATTTCGTTTCTACTTAACACTTATTTTGATATTTGTTCGAGTGTCTATTTTTACCTGCATTTTAGCTGTTTTTTTTTTTTTTTTTTTTTTTTTTTTTTTTTTTATTTCTGTCTATTTTGCATTTTTTCCCTGTATTGTCTCAGATTAGTTCTTGTTGTCACCTACATTTTGGCTATTTTTTTTTTTTTTTCTAGCCATTTTGTACTTTTGCTCTGTTGTGTCCTTTTTATCGCTATTTTTACCTGCATTTTAGCTGTTTTTTTTTTTTTTTCCCCCCCAATTGTCACATAGCTAGATGCTTTTCCATTCTACAGAGCGGAGAAATGGCGAACTAATTTGAGTAAATCATTTTCCGGGGAAAATGCACAAATGAGAAGATAAAGGAGAATCCTTTTTTGGTGCCTATAATGTGTGTGTTACAATGTAAACTGTAGCGTATTGTTGCGACTTTTTTTATTCTCCATTGTAATGCACATATTATTTCAAGGAAGCGCAGAATGCGTGCTGTGTCCATGCTACCCATTTGGGGAAGCGGCAAGGAAGATCTCAATGAAAAACCTTCCAAACATATGATCATCATTTCGCGGTGCTTACCACACAAGCCAAAAAAGGTAAAGGTCTAATGAGCGATCATGTAGTTAGTTATACGAATAGACGGGGTGCCAAAATAAAAATTCGCTACACGGTTAGATAAGTGACTGTTGTTGGAGTGTGTTCTTTTAGCGAATTTTTCCACCAACTTCGTGTTACATGACCGTGTCTTTCCGCCCCCTGTGCCAATGAACCAGGTTGGAAGAAAACATAACCGTGGCAACGATAAGCTTAAAAAAGAGTCAGTTAAAAAGAACGTCCATATGAAGTGGAACCCGTCAGATTTACTTGCACGAGATGGCTCTTCCAATTACCGCATGGTGCAAGGACAGCTTTCCACAAGTAGTTATTGTTCATTCTATATTTTACCATCACGTGGGTGCACCCACACGTTCGTATCTACATGTCTTTGCCAAAGAGAGCAAGGGGGGGGGCTACAGCAATTCGAGTACCTTTGCTCCAATTTATACGTTACCTCTTGGTTTGTGATTTTTTTTTCCTTGTAGCTGAAATAAAGCACGCCATTGCTAGAGTCACAAAAGCAATTCTTCATGAGTTATTTAATTAAAATGTCGAAAGTTCGTAAAAAAAATAAATCTAAGTTGGTACATAAAAAAAAAAAAATAAAATAAATAAAAGTAAAGAAAATAAAACAGGATGGCTTGTTGTACACGCACAGATGGTCTTCTTTATAAGAATTGGTCATGTTACAAAATGGTACTTAAAAAATAGCATATAAAAACTTCACACACGCACACACATATGTATGCATATATATGCATATTGTGCAACAAAGCATGGTGGATAGATTGACGAAAAAAAAAAAAAAAAAATGTACACCATTGTGTGGAGGCACTCTTAGGGGCTTCTCGTCTCCGTGATAGTTCTAACTCAGATCGACTTCCTCGTTCCATTTGCACGAGATGAATTCAATTCGCCCAAACATCACATTCGTAAGATTAATCCTTGGACCCGTTTGTGAAACAAATGCAGTTATATGCAGTTTGTCCATCTACAGAGATGTCCGTCAAGTACGCAATTTATACTTTATGCGGAGGAACAATGAAAAGAAAAATCGCACAATTGTCATATGAATAAATAACGCTGTTATAATCACATGGTGATGGTTTTAAAAATGTTAAAAATTCATAAAAAGGAGGGTGAAAAAAAAAAAAAGAAAAAAAAGGAACGAGCGTAACTTCTTCCATGTCGTGGTAACATATATATGGAATTAGCATACAAATTGTCCGCTTCCTTTTGCTGCCCTTGTATTGTGCTTAATATTGAAGACATGAAGAATTTGCGAAGGCGTACAAAAAAAACAAAAAAAAGGGAACCTATGAATTGGGGTAAGTGGTGAGACATGGTATCACTCATTTGGCTATCCTTCTAATTGGTATAGTTTTTCCACTTGGCTTCTCTATGTGCACGTGGATGGGAGGGTCTTCTACTTATGCAACGAAGAAACGAGCTCGGGGTGCGGAGGGACATATATATACATACATATGTGTGTGCGCACGCTGGCGTGTGGGTGAATTATCATTATAACGTTTGTGCATCGAAGAATTGTGCATTGTGTCAGCCGCACGTGAAGAAAAAACAAATCCACATTGCTTCTCGTTTTTTGTTGAGACTGTTGTTTGTGTGCGTTCAGCTGAACGTCGGATTGTTCTCGGCCGCACTGGGTTTACTGGCCCCGTCGGCGTTGGCATTGTTGACACTATTGGCTGTGCTGGCGACCTGATCAGCAGGCGCAGCGCCCTGTGCTCCCTCCGCACTAGCATTTGTGCTTACGCTTCCCGTGCCAGTGGGGCCGCCCGTGGCACCGAACTCACTGTTCGTAAACAAGAAATTGCTGTTGGTTCTGGAAACGGTTGAGGAGATGCTTGAAATCCAGCCACTTGCATTTTGCGTCACGTCTTTTATTTTGCTTTGGCCCTTTTCCCACCAAGGATTATCACTGACATTTTCTGCAATTTTTTTTGTCTTTTCAGTAATCCAGCTACTGCTATTCATTAGTGTATCTTTGGTAGTTTCGATGAGGTCATTTTTATTTAAATTATTTATTGTGTTCGTTGTCATGGTTTGCGCTTTGTTAATAATATTGGAAAATGTAGCTGACACGTTATCCAATATTTCGGAGGTGTTCAGAGAGGGTATGAAATTCGGCTGATCATCTGCATAAAAATTATTTTTGCTATTTTTGTTCGTTTCGCTTCCATTCTTCATATTTTCATTTTGTCCAAAATTAATTAAATCCTTGCCTTCATCGAGCGATAATGGAGAAGGAGGGTCAGAATTATGAACAATGGATTTCATAATTTTTCTGTAATGTTCAGCTGCTTTAGTTCTATATTTTCTTTCAGGAATAAAATCATTAATTCCATAATTTTCTAAATATGTTTGAAATTTTTTATTGCCTCCTTTGTCCAAATATTTTAATTGCTCATCTGTGAATATATCCATTTTTATACTCCTTACTATACTTATGTGTACTCCCAAACTTCTATGAACGCCTGAACAGTTAATGCAGAGAAACACTCCATGGTTCACTGACACCCAGTCTGGGTTGGGGACTCCACAATCGAAACACTTGTTGTTGCTCTCATCTTCTTTCTTCAACTTGTTGATAACTTCTATAGCAGCTGCATTCATTTTTTTTTTTTTTTTTTTTGTGTTTGTGGGGAAGTCGTTAAGTGGGATGCGCACAGAGACGCGGTGAGAAGTGTTGTTAGGCGCTTGATGGGGACGATGGATCAGATGGATCAGGACGCGCCTTTTTTTTTTTTTTTGTTATGTGTGCTGCGATGCAATATCACCACAACCCGTATGCGCGTAATTTTATTGTGCAAATGGAAACACGTGTTGGCGTTGTATATGTTGCGGAAGAGGAGCCGATCAATGGATGACAATTGTGCGATTCAAGAAGGAGGAAAAAACGACGATTTAATAAAAACACTCAGGGCTGGGTTTACAAATAAAGCGGACTGCTGGTCTCCATAAAAATCGAACAAGTGAGGGTACGAAGAACTGCGTTTACGCAATGCATATAAAGAATGTACCAAGAGTACCCATACGCATATGTGCAGATATGTATATATGTATATACACACATTTGCGTCAAAAACAATGGCTCAGGAAGAGGAGGAAGAAAAAAAAAAAAAAAAAAAATCGTAAATATGAACAAGAGCAAGGGTACAAAGCAAAATGTGAAAAGGTTAAATAAAAAGAAAAATAAATGCACTCTAAAGCGTACGTTAAAAGAACGCTCTTGCCAACGCCATGTTTCGGTAAAAAAAAAAAATTAATAAAATAAAAAAATAATTCAAGTGAAGGAAGCAATTTTGTTAAACAGCATGTAAGTGTTTTCTTTTTAAAAAATCGAAGCGGTTTTAAAATGGCAAAATGGGCCAAATGGTAGAAACGGCAAACGCGTTGAGAAGAGCTGATTTGCGCGATGGCTTAAATGTTTCGCTTTTATGCGGAAGAGATTTTTTTGTGAAGAGACGCTTTCCTCGTACATTTGGGATGTAATAATCATATGTTATATATATGTACATAAGAAAATTGTACTGTGTACATGTTAACTTGTGTACACAGGTTCACATATAAGTTCGTTGGAGGCGGCCAAGCGTCATTTTGCATGGGCGGCGGCGTTCTGATCACATTTGACCCTACGTGCGCGTAAACATTTGAGCGCACGCACAAGAGCGAGGAGGGGAAGGCCCATTAAAAGAGGCACCACACAAAAATGCCATATGTATATGATTTACATATGTACGACGTGTATAAGCATATGCGTGTTTGCGTGTATTTGCGGGATTGGCTGCGGAAGTTGTGACTGTGCGAAGGCAGAGGTATGCCCACTTCCCTATGCATCCCGCGTTTTTTTCGCAAAGAGAGCCTTATAAGGGAAAACGTTTAAACATGTCTGCGTGGAGGGGTTACATCCTCAAAAGGGGGGAACCAGCAAAACGTACAAGCTCGCGTATGCGTATATGTACACATATATATGTGTATATGTATATTATATGAATATGTTTACATGCACACCATATGTGCGTATACGCAAGATGCGCGAGCGTGTAACCAACTGTACAGTTGCAAACGGCAGACAGCTGGAATTGGGGAAAAAAAAAAAAAAAAAAAAAGTGGACATAAAGTTCGTCTATATGTTTTACCTCCCCCCTCTGTAAGCAGCTCGCCGCATAAATCTCCGCGCCATTTTTATATGTTCTGTTAATTTTTTTATCAAGCAAATTTTAATGTGCTGCCAATAACAACTCCTTTTTGCGAACGTGCAAAGGGTAGAAGTAACGGTCGCATATACAGAATAGTACGCGCAGAAGTCTTTAATGTACAGATAGCCTGTTGGGGAAAAGTGCTGTCTATTATTTTTGTAACTTTTTCTCGGAAGGAATTTACAGGAAGGGAAAAAATTGAGTGATGAAAATGTTCTGATGGCCACTTCTGTGCGTAACAGGGTGTGCTTACTTTGGTGTGCAACTACAGGTACCTTTATGCTGCCACGCATTCTTAGGCGAAAATACGAACACACTTGTACCTTTATGCATAATTCTCCCACCCCTATGTGTGTGATATAACTTCAGCACGCGCTCAATACACCCTTTTGCCGCTTTAAAACGCATTGGAAATAATCTGTTCGCTCATTTCGGGTTACTTCTCGTGCTTAACATCTTTAGCAAGAAAAAAAAAAAAAAAA